TATAAACACATATACACAGACTGGGCCATAGAAATACATGGCAGGAGACAGCTAGTTACTCATAAAAACACTGAAAAACTCAGCAGAATGGACTTTAAAAGCCAAAAAAGCAAAAAGACACAACAGTGCATGCACAAAAACACATATATACACAAACACACATATATACACATATACACAAATATATCCACATACATATATGCATATATACACACACAAACACATATACACAGATTGGGCTACAGGAATGCATGGCAGGGGATGGCTAGTGTGTGTGTGTGTGTGYGTGTATATATATACATACATACATATATATATATATATACACACACAYAYACACACACACACACACACACAYAYATATATATGTAATGTTCATTTGTGAGATTAACATAACTCAAATACCACTGGATGAATTGCCACCACCACCAACAACAATTCTTTATTGATTAGTCAATTTTGACCATATCAAAACATGCAAAACATACAAAACATACACACTTGCCCATACATACAGTAAAACCATACATGAATACAAGGCATCCTGGCCTGCTGGCCTGTCAACCCACTCCTAAATGATTGTGCAACTACAAGAKTAAAATAAAAAATACCACAGGATGAATTGTCACAAAATTTGGACACAAGACACCTCTCAGGCCAACGAGTGACCATCACTCATAAAAACACTGAAAAACACAGCATAAGGGACTTTAAAAACCAAAAAAGCAAAAAGACGCTACAGTGCATGCATAAAAATACACATATATGCAAACACACACATATACACATAAACACAAAATATACACACATATATATGCATATATACACACACAAACACATATACACAGACTGGGCCACAGGAACACATGGCAGGGGACGACTAGTACATACATATATCCTGAGATGTCTTGGAAATACCTATATTTGTCATGTTGTACCTGGAACAAAGTTTGCCTCCATTGAACCCTCGTAAAGCCAAAGGGTCACTATCTCAGCCATGGTTTGAGTGTGTTTTCTTGCACACTCACTTTGGGAAGGGTAGGGAAGCAAACTGTCACATTTGCAGCTGGTTTGGGGTGCTTTGGGCTGTTTTCGGTGTGAAAATTCATCTTAAAAATCCATATTTCTAAACAAACAGGGAGATTTAGTCTCCCACACTTTGGGGGCCTCAACACAGGAGAAATAAATGTGGTTGGACACCACTTGAACGGCCGTGGACCAATGCTGTGGGAGATGCAGTCTTGCAAGGCCTTTAGCCTTCTTTGTGCAAGAGAGCTGGGTTTTGGCTGCTTTGGGCTGGTTTCGGTGTGCAAATTCATCTTAAAAATCTATATTTCTAAACAAACAGGGAGATCTAGTCTCCCACACTTTGGGGACATCAATACAGGAGAAATAAATGTGGTTGGACACCACTTGAACAGCCGTGGACCAATGCTGTGGGAGATGTAGTCTTGCAAGGCCTTTAGCCTTCTTTGTGCAAGAGAGCTGGTGCCTTTCCAAACTTCAACATAGATGGTCATAAAATTGAACAAGTTACATCCTTCAAATATTTAGGTGTAGTTCTCCAATCTAATAGTAGCAGAAGAGCTCATGGGGATCAAGTAGCCAACACTGCGCAGGGGAGCTCAATTGCCATTCTTAAATATTTTAAACACTTTACTTACAGAGGGTTACTATGATTTAATCTTCCAGTCCTACCATTTGACATGCAGGTGGGCCTCTTATTACAGGAAGAAAAATGAGAAATAAAAAAAAGTAAGATCGGAAGTGGATGGGACAGTTGGTGGGGATTAGGGGGGAGAGTAGGAGGGGTGCGGAGTGTTACTACGCACAACGCCGCGCCCACTTCTACCGACACACACCTACAGTGTCCGTGCAACCTATTACCCTTCCACCTTCCCTAAAGGCCACAACTGTGGATGTTACATAACTAATAATGTGAAAACTTAACTTAAAAGTTGCGTCCAAAGAACACCACACATAACCCAGAACCATCCACATCCTCCCTCTTACCCTGATACTCTCCAGCCAGCCACACCTTCTATCTGTCAAGGAAGGAGAGAGGGGGGATAAGAGGATAGAAGGAAGGAAGGAAGGAAGGAGAGAGGGAGAAAAGAAGAGAGGAAAGAAAAGGGAAGGAAGGAAGAGGAAGAAGGGAAGAGAGAGAAGTGAAGAGAATGGAAAGACAAAAGGGAAGAAGAAAGGGGAAGGGAAAAGGGATGAAAAGAAAGAGGAGGGAAAAATAAAAAGGAAGGGGGGAGGAAAGAAGGAAGAAAAAGGGGAGGAGAAAGAGAAGAAGGAAGAAAGAAGAGAAGGAAAGATGGGAAGGAAAGGGAGTGAAGGAATGAGAGGAAAGAAGGGAGGGGGAAGGTTGGCCACAGCAAGGCGTGGCAGGGTACAGCTAGTCAAATATAAATTAGTTTACGTCCTCAGCTTAAAATACCAGAAACCACAAAAATCACTTTCTGAAGATACCAGTAATCCAATATTGCAAATTAACAAATGATACAATCAAATATCATTGGGTGTCAAGTACAGATAAATATCTCCACTCCAACATTTAATTCATTGATTGGACCAAACCAATTTTAATTGGCCAAAAAGGCAACTTTGATCAACGTTTTCAAAACACACACAGAAATGTTAATGAATTATTCTTCATCATCATGAATATCTGTAAAAACAGATCATAGGTGTCATTTGTGAAGATGTATTCCTCTTCCCTTTGACGTTGGTGGCAACATTCAATATGGCACCGTCTCCATCTATGAAAATGGCACTTACTGCAACATGCATGTGTGCCATTTGGCAAAACAGTAATTTATAAAGAGATTTATGGAATTTAAATTAAAATTACACAAATCGGAGTCAATTAACTGCATGAATTTGCATATTAATAAAACAGCAATTTCGCTATTGGAAAAAGGCATACTTTGTTTTCATTACGGTGAGACACACATATTCAATGAAAATTCAATTAATATGTCAGCATCTGATGAAAAGGTGGGATATGTATCGATATCAAAAACTTCCGAGGAGAAGATGGAGAAGGATTTGGAGAAGTTTCTTCTCTCCAAATTTGACACTGGACCCATGTGTAGCTTGACCACACTGCCCAGGGGATCCTGGGACTTGTAGTCCAAAGAATGAACTTCCCCAAGCTTGGAAGTAAGCTATTGGCACTGTCTTATTCTCAATTCATGTCACAGATAATGCAAAGTTTGTTGAACTCTTGATGTGGTTGTCTACACAGCTGATCAATGCATTTAATGGGTATTCAATATTTGTGTACAGCTTCTCATCACATTTATTCAATTCAAAGCTATAGTTTACTAACCTGAAAAAAATTCAGAGGTTTTACGGGGATTGAGAGCAATCATATAGGGGTTAAGCTGAAAATAGTTCAAAAACATTGACTTGGATCAGTCAGTTAACACATGACAAACCAACATTTTTGGAGAGGAAATAATGTTAATCCAATCATCTATTCTCATACTGGGTTGTTGTGAGTTTTCTGGGCTGTATGGCCATGTTCCAGAAGCATTCTCTCCTGACGTTTTGCCTGCATCTATGGCAGGCATCCTCAGAGGTTGTGAGTCTGTTGGAAACTAGGAAAATTGGGTTTATATATCTGTGGAATGTCCAGAGTGGGAAAAGCTCAATTGCCATTCTTAAATATCTCAGGACAAGAGGGGGCCACTTCACACCGGCAGCGCTCAAGCTGTTTGAAGCCAAGTCATTAGCCCAACTCTTGTATGGTGCTCAGCTGGGCCCCTTCCCCAGTTTTGCCCCATTAGAGGTGGTTCAGTCCAAGTTTCTGAGATCGGCCTTGCAGGTCCCTAAATGCGTTTCTAATGCCACCCTGCGACTAGAGACGGGCTTGATGAGAGTGGAGGCCAGGATGTGGGTGGCCATGCTCAACCTCTGGCTCAGACCCCTTGGCCTTGCCCCACTAACCATGGAGGATGACTTCCAATCCACATGGAAGCAGGTGGTAGCATCCAAAATCTCCTCATTGGGATTTTCTCCAGGTCTACTATTTGCTATGGATTACAATCAAGCCAAAGCACTTATTAAACAACGTATCACAGACACAGAGCGACAACTAGATCTGGCCTCGGCTCCAATCTTCCTTATCAATGAAGACAGCAGATACCTTGCCTCCCCTATGGCATATTTAACCAACTTAGAGGTTCCCATTCATCGAAGGGCTTTCACCCTGGCTCGATGCCACGCTCTCCCATCAGCTGTACTCGAAGGAAGGCCGCTACTGGAAGATCCCTTTCCCAGAGAGACTCTGCTGCCCCTGTGACTCGGGTCATGTAGAAACAATAGAACATGTGCTCCTCCAGTGCCCGTTCTACAGGGATATCCGTGCCAGGCTTATCTTACCTCTGATATACAAGCACCCAGGCCATTCAGGACAATTTTATACCTCCATGCTACTGGCAGATACTAATTCAGCTACAACATACAATGTCGCAAAGTTCTGTGCAGCAGCATACACAATCTGCCAGGGAATGACTAGTTCCAAAAGTCAACTGTGTGTCCAGTAATCTTCCCTGAATCTACAATTTGGTGATGGATCTGGGCATTGTATGTTTTTACCCTGTTTCCCCTTCTGCTCCCTCACCCATATTGTGCTTTAGTAGTTATATTTATATTTTTAATGTACCAAACATATCAAGTTTGTATGAAAATGTGACTATTTTCTGTGCTGGTCAATGACCGAAATAAATGATTTGATTTGATTGATTGATTGAAACTTCAACTCTGTTAGTTAAAATTTTGTCAAAGTGCATCAATTCTGCAGTGTAGACGCAGCCTTAATCTGTCCACTGGTTGCCAGATGGAGAGGATGGAACAGAAGGGTCTCCAAAAGGACCTCCTTGTGTTTTGGAGGAACATTGATCCGGAATTCCCTTCTCCGAGGCTGGCATTTGGAATCCACAGCATTTCATATTTTCCTGGTGCCAAACGCCAAGGAGTTGGGTCTCTGGAGAAGTTCGGACGGACGCCAGCGGACGCGAGGAGGGCAATATAGTCCCCATCGTCGTCGTCACCGTCCCCATCGTCATCCTTCCTCGGGAGATTAACCCTGTGGGCCCCGGAGCCCTCGTCCTTCTGCTCCTTTTGCCCAGGCCTCTCTGATTAAATCATCTTGAGGTAATTCGGCATGTCATTGAGACAGATTAACGGCTGACCTTCTTCTCCCAGGATAGGGCTGGGAGCCTGCCGGGGCCTCGCCTCGCTCGATCTCCAACGCCACAGAGACCTAGGAGCAAGGAAACGAATTTGTTGACCTTCGGACGGAGCAGAAGAGGACTCCAAAGTGCCATGGAGCTCAAGGAGAAGCTCCAGCTTTGGGTCTGAAGGAGGAGGAGGTCCAAAAGGAGCAACAACGGTGGACCGAAGGGATTTGCCGCTGATCGAAAGCTCCTTGGGCCTGGCCCTCGCCGGAGCCCACCATAAAGATGAGGTAGGTCACTCATTGGCGTTTGGGTTGGTCTCCGTTAAGGAGAGACTTTGGACCAAAGCGACAGGTCTATCACCGGCATCCTGACGCATATACGGCTTCGTTCTTGGCTGGAGTTCCTCACTAGGCTTCTGATGTGCAGCTCTAGCTTCACGTCTTGGGTTTCGGTTTAGTCTAAGCATGCCAAGATGGGTTGGGGATCCTTCTTAGTGCTGCAAACAGGTGCCGATAAGTCCTTGCCGGTCTCTCGTTATTATGAAGCCTTTAAGAAAGCAAACTGAGCGCCCTTCTGGTGCGTTGCCGTTTCACAGCTGGAACATGTCTAAATTCCAAGAGATATATACAGAAAGAGAAGGGGGAGATATGTATGTATGTATGTATGTATGTATGTATGTATGTGTGCATGTGCATGTTTGTATATTTGTGCATTAAGGTTCCCCCAATCTTTTCTTGGTGAAGATAGAAATTGCACTTTTGTTGAGCGTCTTTCCATTTCCATGCAGAGAGAAAGATACAGGGTTGTGAGTTTTCCAGGCTGTTTGGCCATGTTCCAGAAGCATTCTCTCCTGGCGTTTCATTTTTATCTATAGTAGGCATCCTCACAGGTTGTGGGGACTGCCAGAGGATGTAGACCAGTGTTTCTCAACCTGGGGGTCGGGACCCCGTGGGGGTCGTGAGGGGGTGTCAGAGGGGTCGCCAAAGACCATCAGAAAACATTGAGTGCTTGTGCCTAGTTTGGTCCAGATCCATCATTGTTTGAGTCCACAGTGCTCTCTTGATGTAGGTGAACTACAACTCCTAAACTCAAGGTCAATGCCCACCAAACCCTTCCAATATTTTCCGTTGGTCATGGGAGTTCTGTGTGGAAGTTTGGCCAATCTATATTGGTGGGGTTCAGAATGCTCTTTGATTGTAGGTGAACTATAAATCCCAACAACTACAACTCCCAAATGGCAAGGTCTATTTTCTCCAAACTCTACCAGTGTTCACATTTGGGCATATTGAGTACTTGTGCCAAGATTGATCCAGATCCATCATTGCTTGAGTCCACAGTCTGGATATAGGTGAACTACAACTCCAAACTACAACTACAACACTTTGGCCACATCATGAGGAGACAGCAAAGCCTAGAGAAGGGAATGATGCTGGGGAAAGTGGAAGGCAAAAGGAAGAGGGGCCGACCAAGGGCAAGATGGATGGATGGCATCCTTGAAGTGACTGGACTGACCTTGAAGGAGCTGGGGGTGGCGACGGCCGACAGGGAGCTCTGGCGTGGGCTGGTCCATGAGGTCACAGTGTTCTCTGGATGTAGGTGAACTACAACTCCAAAAACTCAAGGTCAATGTCCACCAGACCTTCCCAGTATTTTCTCTTGGTCATGGGAATTCTGTGTGCCATGTTTGATTCAATTCCATCATTGATGGAGTTCAGAAGGCTCTTTGATTTAAGGTGAACTATAAATCCCAGCAACTCCAGCATTACCAAATGACAAAATCAATCACCACCAACCCCACCAGTATTCAAATTTGGGGGGATCGGGTATTTGTGCCAAATTTGGTCCAGTGACTGAAAATACATCCTGCGTATCAGATATTTACATTACAATTCATAACAGTAGCAAAATTACAGTTATGAAGTAGCAACAAAATATTTTTATGGTTAGGGGTCACCACAACATGAGGAACTGTATTAAGGGGTCACAGCATTAGGAAGGTTGAGAACCACTGATGTAGATGTTGTGAGGATGCCTGCCTTAGATGCAGGTGAAACATCAGGAGAGAGTGCTTCTGGAACATGTCCATACAGCTGAAAATACATCCTGCGTATCAGATATTTACATGACGATTCATAACAGTAGCAAAATTACAGTTATGAAGTAGCAACGAAAATAGTTTTATGGTTGGGGGTCACCACAACATGAGGAACTGTATTAAGGGGTCACGGCATCAAAGGTTGTGAAGTCACAACCTCTGAGGATGCCTGCCATAGATGCAGATGAAACGTCAGGAGAGAATGCTTCTGGAACATGGCCATACAGCCCGGAAAACTCACAACAACCCAGTGATTCCAGCCATGAAAGCCTTCAACAATACAAAGAAGTTAAAGCTGGAGTGTGACATGTGTTTACACGAGAGTAAATGCCAGTCAGGTTAATGGGACTTCCCCAGGAACGGTGCTACGTTTTCATGTTTCATTTATCCAGCAATCTTTTGCCATTCTCACTCCTATTTTAAATCTGATTTTGATACCCAACCCTGGAAGATGGTCAGGGTTATCAATCAACAGAATCAATACATATTGGTTCAAAGGTTACTTAGGCTTTGCTCCCTGGATCTCAATGGAGTAAATTTCTAATATTGTGCGGTGAATCTCTTCTCGCGGTGACGAAACGGGTGCCACTCAAATGCCGTCTGGCCAGATTGGCTGTCTCTTCTCGCGGTGACGAAACGGGTGCCACTCAAATGCCGTCTGGCCAGATTGGCTGTCTAGGAGGAATTATAGGATTTCCAGGTGAAAGAAGGGGCAGGGCTGGGTGCTTTTAATAGTTACGTAGAAGAAGGGAATTTCAGCAGGGATGGATACCTAAAGGGTGCTGGTGCCTCGCTGAACTACAAGTCCCATGATTCCATACCATTCAGTGGTGCTGGTGCCTCGCCGAACTACAAGTCCCATGATTCCATACCATTCAGTGATGCTGGTGCCTCGCCAAACTACAAGTCCCACGATTCCATACTATTCAGTGGTGCTGGTGCCTCGCCGAACTACAAGTCCCATGATTCCATACTATTTTGTGGAGTTGGTGCCTGAATAGTCCCATGATTCCATACCATTCAGTGGTGCTGGTGCCTTGCCGAACTACAAGTCCCATGATTCCATAATATTCAGTGGTGCTGGTGCCTTGCCGAACTACAAGTCCCATGATTCCATACTATTAAGTGGAGTTGGTGCCTGAATAGTCCCATGATTCCATACCATTCAGTGGTGCTGGTGCCTCGCCGAACAACAAGTCCCATGATTCCATACCATTCAGTGGTGCTGGTGCCTTCGCCGAACTACAAGTCCCATGATTCCATACCATTCAGTGGTGCTGGTGCCTCGCCGAACTACAAGTCCCATGATTCCATACCATTCAGTGGTGCTGGTGCCTCGCCGAACTACAAGTCCCATGATTCCATACCATTCAGTGGTGCTGGTGCCCCTTGCTGAACTACAAGTCCCATGATTCCATACTATTCAGTGGTGCTGGTGCCTCACCGAACTACAAGTCCCATGATTCCATACTATTCAGTGGTGCTGGTGCCTCGCCGAACTACAAGTCCCATGATTCCATACCATTCAGTGGTGCTGGTGCCTCGCCGAACTACAAGTCCCATGATTCCATACCATTCAGTGGTGCTGGTGCCCCACTGAACTACAAGTCCCATGATTCCATAACATTCAGTGGTGCTGGTGCCTTGCCAAACTACAAGTCCCATAATTCCATACCATTCACTGGTGCTGGTGCCTTGCCGAACTACAAGTCCCATGATTCCATACCATTCAGTGGTGCTGGTGCCTTGCCGAACTACAAGTCCCATGATTCCATACCATTCAGTGGTGCTGGTGCCTTGCTGAACTACAAATCCCATGATTCCATACTATTCAGTGGTGTCAAACTGCAATCATTCTACAGTGTAGATCCGGGCTGGGTATCTTCCTCACGTATCTTCATCCTGAGGGGTGTAAGATAAACCTTAGTGTGAGAGAAGCCTCATGTGAGAAAACTCCAGTGTGAAGGCTTCTGTGTGTAAAGTTATTATGTATTTGTTTATTTGTCCACCACAACTGAAAAGAGTTAGTAGGCCGAAGCCTGTTAGTGGGCAAAAGCTAGTGTCATCCTGAGGAGTGTAAGGTAAACTTCTGTGTGAGAGAAGCCTCATGTGAGAAAACTCCAGTGTGAAGGCTTCTGTGTGAAAAGTTACTATGTATTTGTTTATTTGTCTGCCACAACTGAAAAGAGTTAGGAGGCCGAAGCCTGTTAGCGGGCAAAAGCTAGTGTCATCCTGAGGAGTGTGAGGTAAACCTTAGTGTGAGAGAAGCCTCATGTGAGAAAACTCCAGTGTGAAGGCTTCTGTGTGTAAAGTTACTATGTATTTGTTTATTTGTCTGCCACAACTGAAAAGAGTTAGGAGGCCGAAGCCTGTTAGTGGGCAAAAGCTAGAGTCATCCTGAGGGGTGTAAGGTAAACCTCAGTGTGATAAAAGCCTCATGAGAGAAAACTCCAGTGTGAAGGCTTCTATGTGTAAAGTTACTATGTATTTGTTTACTTGTCTGCCACAACTGAAAAGATTTAGGAGGCCGAAGCCTGTTAGTGGGCAAAAGCTAGAGTCATCCTGAGGGGTGTCAGGTAAACCTCAGTGTGAGAGAAGCCTCACCTGCAGTGTAAGGTAAACCTCAGCTGCAGTCCACCACAATTGAAAAGAGTTAGTAGGCTGAAGCCTGTCAGTGGGCAAAAGCTAGTGTCATCCTGAGGAGTGTGAGGTAAACCTTAGTGTGAGAGAAGCCTCATGTGAGAAAACTCCAGTGTGAAGACTTCTGTGTGTAAAGTTACTATGTATTTGTTTATTTGTCCACCACAACTGAAAAGAGTTAGTAGGCGGAAGCCTGTTAGTGGGCAAAAGCTAGAGTCATTCTGAGGAGTGTGTGGTAAACCTTAGTGTGAGAGAAGCCTCATGTGAGAAACCTGTGTGTAAAGGTACTATGTATTTGTTTATTTGTGTTATGGAAATCTTATTTTTGTAAATAGTGCAACCATATTATTAAAGGAAAGGACCTGAAGCTGTTAGGAATTGTGAGAGCTGAGGTCCAAAACACCTGAAGGGAGGATGGAAGTTTGCCCATGCCTGAGAAAGATGCTTTTTTCTAATAGTTGTACTGAAATTAATGTGCATCTTACAATCCATGGCATCTTAGACTCAAAGAAATACGGTAATTCCAATTTCTGTAGAAGTGATAGGAGCGGC